ACGTACACATTACACATATCTGCAAAATCTGTGCCTTGTTGCCATGGCATGTGCTGTAATAATGATCCTCCATCTAACACATGTTGAACATTCTCAGTAATAAACTCTTGTCTTCCACAGTCTCCTAAAGCCCAAATCGCATCAGCTAATGCTGGTTTTTGTGGTCGCCTTGGAAAACCTGATGGATCAAACAGTGCAGATAGAATATCCAAATATGTGTGACATGTCTTCTTCCAATCTAGTTACAGATGTTGTAAGACGTTGAAAAAGTAGCAGAGGGTCAACCTGAATTGACTCGCCATCTAATTTTACTACAGGCTTTGTAGTAAGTGTCACTGCTTGCTGGGATCTTTTGAAAAAATGCTCCATCATATTTTTACCAACCATTTTTTGTAAGATTTTCGATCCTATTTCTTTTGCATTGTAAACATTTACAGATGAATCAGACGCCACACCGGTTTCAATATTGCGTAATGAGGGGTCTTGGATAAACGGATTTCTTTCTAGAAAAAAAGATAGAAGTACGTTTGTGTATTTGTAGTCCCTTTCCTTCCTGGCTTGGCCACACTCTTTGTGTTGACTACTTGTGTAATAATAAAATCCTGCATAGCGTTATTTACCTCTTCACACGAGGGCAATGAGAGTAACCACTGAACTCGTTGTGTTTCTGTCATACCCTTTCCTCTAGTCATGCCTTCATTTGTCTTCATGCTTCTCATTAAGACTTGCTCGATAATAAGATCCGTTGACAATCCAGTCCAATGCCTATCAGTTATACGCATAACATGATGTCTCGATTTGAAATATTGATATACCTCGTTGTTGGTTATCTCAAGCTTTCCCATCAGTTGCAAATACACATACACTGATTTCAGATATAAAGTATGTCCTGCAGATGCAAAATAAGGAAGCATCTGTGCTAGTGTTTTCTGATGAAGATCCCAATTACTTGTCCACTTTGCTTTTATAAATGTTTGTAAGATATGTATCATCTCCATATACTGAATCCAAAGAGCTGCTGTTTTATATTGTTTCAGACTCTGTATTCAGAGACTTGTTTCTGGATTTTGTCATGTATACCAATTTCACAAATAGACTAAACTTCAATCTTTTCCGAGAAAAGGCCATCGTAAATTTTACCGATTTCAGTAATATCATTTTCATTCTCAGACACTGCATTTTCAAAGGTGTTTTAATTGTCATTGTCTTGCCCAGCCAGAACATTGTCATCAATAGATAAGTCTCTATGCCCATTTTCTGCACATCATCTCTAGAAGGATTTACAGGGAGCGACACACCAAATAAATCTGACACAATCATTGAATTAAGAACATTATCAACTAGAAAATATCCTTGGATAGCTCTTGCGATTGCTTCTCACTCATCATGTGAACCACAGCATTTGAAGTGTACACAGTTTCCAATAGTTCGCTAAGACCAGATCCCTGCATCAGATGACCGATGCATCCAAGATAATTCATTGTGGTGTGGAAACCACCTAATCACAATACAACTTGCGCAGGTTGCTGTTTTATAGTTCATTTAATATCACAATTAAAGCTCTCCAATACAAAGGCTGATCAAAGGTAATGACTGGGTTCATCCCATACTTTGCTGCGTGGTCACCGAGAAATTTAAGAGCTGTGTATATACATGGCATGCCACTTGGATCCATGTCAATCATGGGCATAAACACTATGGACAATTTTCCTGGGCTGACGCCTTTTTGAAGCATCTGCATTTGACCTGACCAACCCGGCCTGACTAGCCTTATAGGCCATGGCAACTTGAGAAGCAGATCAAGTTTACATGTACTGTTGACCACCCTTAATTCATTAAGTTCTTCAAATATCAATTGCGTTTTCGTTTTATCTCCCTTCCAGTACAATATACGAATATCTCCAGCAGCAATAATGTCTTCTTTAGTGACATCCATTCTTTTGATAAGTAAATGACTTCTTGTTGCTGGAGTAACACATCCCATGGAATGTTCCGTGACCGTCTAATGTTCTGATATTATGGGCCACGTCGTCTGCTACGTATTGTATACAACTTCCTGGAATAAAACCGGGTATATCAATACCTTGTGATACTGTGACACATGATTCAAACTTTTGAACATCAGTATAAGAAGCGCAGAATCTGAGGTTATTAAGTGTATCTATCAAGCACTTAGAAGCAAATTAGTGATGAAGTTGGACTCCAAGTCCTATTTGAAATGGTGCAATAATAATTCGTGGTCTAGCTGCTTGGATGATTGCTTGACCAATTGATGCAATCTTAACATCAGCATTATTCTCAATGAAAACAGTTCTTAACAGCAACTTTAATCTCTCTGTTAGAAAGTCATTGTTTTGCTCTGCATATGATATTTCTACAGGAGAAGGGTATATTGTCTTAGTACACGCCATTTATTTGATATCAGATTTGATTAGTGTAGCTGCTGCTTTTATAATCGCGATCTTTTCTGTTTCACTATCCCCACTCTTTTGGCGCTGGTAGAATTCATGTAGATCGAAGTTGCTGTGCTCCTTAAGGCTAAATGCAGCATCGCCACAAAGATCTGTCATTATGTCAACAAGATATTTAATCGTAATTTGTTCATTGTCATTTTCTTTAAGGTAACTGTCAACAGAGAAAAAACCTCGTGTTAAGTTAGCATGAAGTTCTTATGATATACCTCCAAGGTGTTAGATTTTGATTAAAAGTAGTGTTAATTTCTTAAATCATTTTACAAACAAGCATTGAATAAGTGTTTGCTTTATAAGTACGTACGTTATTGACTGTTATCAACAACAACAACACTCGTACAATAAGTGGATGTAGACCTATTCTTTAGACTCGCTACATATATTAGCACGTTTTATATCCGGGGTTTCTATCTACAAATACAACTGTTTATATATGTGTGGTAACACAAAATATACTGTTAAACATCAGGACACACAAGACTAATACCAACGTGAGCCAAATGCTGTTGTTCTATATTTTGTTTGTAATTTTTATGATTTTTCCAATGGACTTCCGTAGTCGTGAAAATCGACCAAGTTACGCCACTGATTTTCTTTTTTTCATTTCTTTTGTAAGACATTATAATGAAGCTTATATTACAAATGTATCGTTATTTATCATAAACAATAACTTTCCATCACTTTATACATATCAATACGCATTATTTTTATATGTTTGCCATCCGCGAAAACGCATTGTATTTTTTGATTTAGGGCAAAGCTCACAAGGCCTATCTGTCTGATTCATCGTCTGTTTGCATAATTTACGGACGTTTTGACATTATAAATCAACTAGAATATACGTTTTGCACATATAATAAACAATACAATGCAAGAAATTTACCATGTCCAGTTTATTTTCTTCTCACTACTTCAACAGTGTGTATTACCGGTCACTAACATATTTCTGAGAAATTCATACATTATACGGTGGCTTATGTGTACCACTTATTAAATGGCAAAATTTACTTTAAGATTTTTTTTTGTAATTTCCATATTAAGATTTTTATAGACTTTTGATAGGTTGTTCATGAAATAGTTTTACATTATTCTTCCAAAAAAAAATTCTGTTGCAATTAGTTTGTTGTTGAAATGTAGACTGACTGGACTAGGTGGAGTAATTGTTGAAGCGATTTTGATTGGAATGCTGAAAAAAAAAAAGAAGATAAAGACTGTATGATTCACGTGTCCTATTGTGAGTATGCTCGGTTATTTTCGAGCATTTTGTCGGTGGTTATTCACCCTGAAAATACAGTAACCATACTTAATTGCAAGACTTGATCTGCCAATTTCGAGCTTTGTCGATTGCTTTAATTTTGGTAATTACTTCCGTATGTTTTGTGACAGTATTACCTGGAGACGGTAGTGTTTGGCAGAAGTATAGATTGTCAGAAGTTTTTAAAGGTTAGAAACCACAGAAAGGTAGCAACTAGTGGAAGTTCATTTTGGTGTAACCAGGTCTGTTGTGGGAAGATTGTGGATACCTATCATACAGCCTGAATGAATACCGCCACGTAATGACTGCTATATATACCAGCACAACATGACCGTTAGGAATCACTCACTGTTCACGAAATCTCATCATGCCCTTCAAACAGAAACTTGGGCAATTATTTATGACCAAGAAGTATGGAGCAGAAAGAGACTTTATGAATTCAACTTAAACGTACGAAAAATGCTTCAGTCTAGTATTTGATTTCCCCCTCATTTGAACTTTTGTCGAAATCACTAAAACTGCCAACAACGCCAATGGGAGCCTGTACTCTTCCGACATGATTCACATTTTCATGCCTGTCCTAATAATTGGCAATTTTGCGTATGAAGAGTCACAGATGAACAATATTCTCAGTGCTACATTATTGAAAGTGGCCGCTTTGCTAGCAGTTCACTTAAAGCGTGGGGTTGCTTCAGTGTGAATATAAATACATATCCTATATGCCTAGGAGGAGCGAATTTATTGCAAGACTATATACTGACGAAGTATTAGACACAACTGTAAAAACATTCGCTTGAGTAATCAAACCAGACTTTTTAGTGATGCAGAATATTATACAGCCAAGATTGTGCAAAGAAATACATGGATTATTAGCAAAAATGGCCGACCTAATTCCTAGAAAATCCCTTGACTGCTATGAAGGCTGACGCCTTAACCGTCCACCACACGATGTCAGAGAGCTTAGAATGGAGCAAGTTGTTATGCGCTCTGTCCACCTCGGGGAATCGAATCCCACATCTTAGTGTTGCAAGTCCGTAAACTTACAGCTAACTCACACAGGAAGACGAATGGGGTAGGATCCTCCAAAACTTCAGTCACAGGCAAGTCAACTAGCAAGAGGACCCGCACAAAGATTTCGTATGGCTCTTTAAGTCGATTAACGGGATAGACTGTCACCTTTGTTGTTGTTTATTGATTTTCACGCAAAGCAACTCGAGGGCTAGCCATCCTTAATTTTGAACACCACCCACTGCCTACTCATAGGCTACTCTAATCAAATAGTGGGATCTTAACATCGTTCTTATAACGCACACACGGCCACAAAGTACCAGAGCGATTTTTTATTTTTTTCTGCCGGAATGGGGCGCGAACCACGGAACCTTGGATCCACAGTCCGTCACGATAACCAACGGACTGTCCCTTTTATAGCGCCCACAACCGAAAGCGAAAGTGGGATCCGTCGTATCACGTATCAAACCCCAGACTTTTTATTCAGCATCCACACACTATAATGACTAAGTCGGCTGGCCCACATACATTAAGAATATTCTATTACAGTTTTGATAACTCCCCATTCACACGTGGTGTGGAAATAGAAAGTAAATGCAAAACGTTCTTTTTTCAATTCAATAAAAGAAGTTAACCAAAATTTTGTTTTTTCAACGGGGGGAGAATAATCTTTGCCTGTATTTCACAAACTAACTTTCTGACACTTTTAAATTAACAAATTTTTATATTATTCTGTTTTCTTATGGGATTATATGTCAAAAAGTAAAACATGGTCATATCACTATAATTACTAACTATATAGACTAATCTTTGAATAAAAGGTACAAACATATTATAGAGAGAAGGTTATATTATCGAATGAACTTAGGGCATTATGTAATGAATAACAAGCTGGTTTAAGAAAATTCAGCAACATTTATAAACAAACGAATCTGTTTTCAGAATTTTAAATGGCAGTGTTGTTTAGAAGGTTATTTTTTATTGATACTACTTATAAAGCTTGATTCAAAATAAACCTATATTTAAAAGAATTAAGACCCTAAAACTACTTGTTCAGGAAGGGGCTAAATTTCACCAGAGGTATCATGAGAATAATAAGTATGTATATAAATAATACGCATGCGTTTGTCTGTCCGGAGCTTTATAGCAGATTTCTCGATCAAACGGTACAACTCTCATATCGTTGGAAAGGCTTTTGTCCGAGGAGTCCGGATTGCATATTGTTTTTTCAATTCAGAATCACTTCAACTTTTTTGCTTAATAAGACTTTTCGATGCAACGAGTATGGTATACGGTGGCACAATGTTGTTGTCATTATGATGACTGGCTTCCATTTCAACTTTAGTTTTTATTTGAAAGTATTTCGCCCAAACTACACTTAACCCACGTGTAATTTCAAAAATAAATTAACATTGCACTAAATACAATTTCTATGGGCTTTCTCGTCTTATTTAGGTCTAAAATACACATGCGCAGTTCGTTCGAAACCATATTCTTATCATTTTGTGAACATTTCAGACCTTTCTGCATATTCAGCTAAGTTTGCTTTCATTACAACTTCACATTTATTATACTAAGCAATATCTTAGCTTTGGTTCCTTTCATAGACTGCTAGCAACGCTTTTTAGCTACTTCTTTTTTTATCACGGGTTATATTCTTCATTTTTATGAGTTTCTTTGTTTCAACTCGTAAAATATGTCTTACACTGAACGTCCATAACGGTTTCATACTCTGTACACTATTTTAAGTACCATTACTTTATTGTTTACTTTAAGAGTAGTTTTATTAAATAAAGTTACGTACGTGTAGTTTTATCATTAAGTACGGTAGTACTCAATAGTAGGGATCATGATGAAACAAAATGGTGACCACAAAACATGTCCGTTTGAAACCATCTTTAAAATGTCTGAAAATTAACAATGACTATTTCACAGTATTTGCTGAGCAAATCTAAAACTTAATGCATTTATAAAGCCGCCTAAATCGCTATTTACGTGTTTATGAAGTGATTCAAAAATTCACTATTTCAACGAATGTTCATCTAAGTAAGTAGATAAATGACTTTTCTAGACAAGCGTACAGAAAAAATGACGAACCTTAACGCTCTAATTTTTCTGCCCCCAATGGCACAGCGGTATGTCTGCAGACTTA